AAAAGCAAACCGGTCAGCACTGGTGAATTTAGAGTGGGCAAACACATTCTCTCATGAAACTTAATTTTTGGACATGAAATAGCAAACATGCATCAAAGCTGTTGCCCATTAATACAACCATAGAATACAAATCACTTAAGTTGTTAACTGTATAGGATAGAGCAGTTATTTTTTGCTGCCTCAGCACTATAGGAGTTATTTTGCTTCCTCCCCAAACTTTCTTCTTTAATTCTTTCTACTAACAAATTCTCTTTTAAACTAATATATTTCATCAGCCAGAACCCCCTCAAAAGAAATTTGGGAACAGCTGGAGAAGCTGGGATAGTAGGATGATTCTGTAATGAGCAACAGTGTTAGAGGAAGAGAATACATTGCAACCAACAGCAACCTCCAAGAACATAAAACAATCCCTGTTCTTATGCTTAGTTGTCTTCAGAGTTTTTTGTTGTTGTTGTTGCTATTTCCAAGCAAAACCTCAACACTCTCACTGTAAAAGACTTTTTCCTTATATCTAAACTAAAGCTACTCTCTTTAAGCTTGAAACCATTTCCCTTTGTTCTGTCATAACAGACCCTGCTAAAGAGTCTGTCCCCTTCTTTCCTGTAGCTCCTCTTTAGATATTGAAGGTCTGCTATCAGGTCTCCTTGGAGCCTTCTCTTCTCCAGGCTGAACAGCCCCAGCTCTCTAAGCCTATCCTAGCAGAAGAGGTTTACCATCTCTTTGATCATTTTTGTGGCCCTCCTCTGGACACACTCCAACAGGTCCATGTCTCTCCTGTACTGAGCACTCCACATCTGAATGCAGTACTCCAGGTGAGGCCTCACCAGTGCAGAGCTGAGGACAGGATCACCTCCCTTGACCCACTGGCCACACTTCTTTTGATGCAGCCCAGGATATGATTGGCTTTCTGGGCTGTGAGAGCACATTGCTGGCTCATGTCCAGCTTGCCATCCACCAGAACCCCCCAGGTTTTTTTCAGTAAGGCTGCACTCAGTTTGTTCATCCCCCAGCTTGTATTGGTAGCGGATGTTGCCTTGACCCAGGTGCAAGACCTTATATTTAGATTTGTTGAACCTCATGAGGTTCACCTTGACCCACTCCTCAAGCCTCTCCAGGTTTATCTGGATAGCATCCTGTCCCTCTGGTGTGTATCACAGAATCATAAAATGGCTTAGGTTGGAAGGCACTTCAAAGATCATTGAGCTCCAACCCTCCTGTCATGGGCACCCACCAGATCAGGCTGCCCAGGGTGCTACCCAACCTGGCTTTAAGTGCCTCCAGGAATATAATAGAGGTGCTTCAGTCCTCAGATCATCTTCATGGCCCTCCTCTTGCTCTGCTCCAACAGCTCCGCATTGTTCTTGTGCTGGGGCCCAGGTGTGCATGCAGGCATGGAGCACAGCATTTATCCTAGCTAAATTACCTGAGTTTCCTGTCAGGTCAATTCTTCTATCTAGGTCCTTCTACAGGTAACCCTTCCCTTAAGCATGTCAGCTGCATGCCATCCCCTCCATTTCAGATCATCTACTGAACTGATGAGAGTAAATTTGTCTCCTGCAAACCCAGGAAAGGCCCCTGAGGAAATGCACCTGTATCCATTTACAAACTTGTATGTGTGTTACAAACTTCTTTCCACCACTTTATTAAATGCTAAAATCGTTCAAGTATTGAATTAGAAATACTTCTAAGAACAAATCTGACCAAACATGATGTTTCCAGCAAATTTGTTGCATTGTGGTTTAAAGAAAATAAAATTGCACTGCCAAGGTATTTTATAAGGCAGTAGAAATTGACGCAGTAATTTTTCATGTTATTTTAGCATTTCCCTATCCAAGAAATTTATAGAGTTGATGAGAAGTGACTGAGACTTCAGTTACAGCTTAATTCCAAAGTACATCCAGAAAGAAATATATAGGAGCTTTAGCATGCCCAAAAGTGAATTGGAGACGCATATATTGAAACCTGTAGTGTGTACAGCAGGACACTGTTCAGGGAGATACAATTCACTCTGGTCTAATTTTGTTTGTGCTTATCTTTGAGCCCAACTCTTTGATGCGTATGTGGCCCTGACCTCAGAGTTTGCTAACGGGATATTTCTTTGGAAACAGCAAAGTGAAACACTCTTTAAAGGTGGGATTTCTTTTCACTACCAAAACACACATGCATAAAAAGGCAACATGCCAAAAATGTCGTATTTGAAGGACAAGAGATGCAGTGCCAGAAATTCCCTGGCTTCATTAGAGGTGTGAATATTGCTATGTAGTTTTTACTCGAAGTTTTGGCTCTGTTCACACCTAGTTGTCATCTTTATTCATAAGCTTAGAGATTCTGTTGAGTGTGTCGACCTTCTCAGATGCTGCTGTGACCAAACATGCTCTCTTCTGTTTTAGGAATATTTCTTGCAGAACTTCTCTCTGACAATAAGTTCTTGTTCATTTATTGGGTTGTTTTTTGCTGAAAGAATAGGACAGGTAAGCTTGCTAAGAAAAGAATCCTTCCTCCTATCTCCTCTGTAGTTTTGTATCTGCCATCTTGATATGAGTAACAGATTAGCTGACACAATTGCTTTTCTTTCCTTAATAGCTTCGAGCAGAATTTTTTTAATTGTGGCCTACTACTCCTGGTTGGCTGTCTGTCAGCACAACTCTCTGGGCTTGTATACCATGGGAGAATGCGTGATGTTATAGATACCTAGGTACCTGAATAACTCAGTTTGTATACATAACACAGCTTAGCACCAGCACTACCTTCAAAAATGTAAGCAGTAGAGCTGTGATAGTCCAGTACTAAGTCAAGGCTAATTAGCTCCCCCTGAGATGTTTGCTGCATTACTTGAAGTTTTCAACATCTTTGGTCATGCCTTATTTTTCATTGTCTAAATAGACAATGTGGTTTCTTGATGTCTGAGTACCATTCCTGTTACTGACATTTTGGGACCCCATTGATTGTAACTAAGAAACATCCTCCTGACTATTGCGATAAAGATTTCCATTCTTAAAATCACTTTGCCTTTGGTGCCTGGCCTGCTACTGGAGTCAGTGTATGGACTTAAGTAGCAAGACACTGAAGGCATTATCAAAGGCATACCAAGAATGTCTCTGTTGTCTGTAGATGTGAATGGAAACAGTACGAGGCTTTCTACTGTGAGAGCCACTGCTCACAGAGTGTCAAAACTACCTTTCCCAAAGATACTTGATCCAATGCCATGTGACAGTGACACTGGAATTATTTGAAGATGATATCATCACAAAGTTTTCATCTTGTATACTTAGTCTGTAAACATAGTAATGATAGCTGAGCCCAGCAAACTTTTAAAAGCCAGCTGCGAAAATGACTGTTATTGCTATCTTGGTTTTGCTGTTTTGGAGACTGTCATTGCAGTGATTTTTGCCAGCTGGTTTCATCTGGTAAAACAACTCTGGACACAAATAGATGAGGGGAAAGAGATGACAGTGGTAGCCACCAGTCCAGAGGCAGCTCAAGGTCATGGCATTCAGACAGGGTCCACAAGCCCTCTTCTGCTTGGGACCCAATTGGCCCAACTCCCACACAGTTGTGGGAGCCAACAGACAGTGAGCCCACATGATCCAACTTGCTGACAGTGCTGGTTCTTTCACGTGGACTTAGTTTTTTACTGCAGTGAAGAACGTTAGCCAATGTCAATACTGTCTGACGTTAATGCGTATTTCTCTGTTATAAAGCAAAACGCAGAATATTACAATTAAGCCATTTTTACTGCTTATTTAATTTATTGCCCAGCTTAAAGGAAAAATCTCTTTTTTCCCTTGTTGGTCCCAAGTATATCCACCTCTCCAGGTGAAACATGCATTGCCAATAAGCCTTGTAACTTTCCAAAGGCAATGTTGGCTGGTGCAAATGTACATTATCTATTTAAGACAAATAGAAATAAAGTGATTCTTGTTAGCTCAAGATCTGACCCCAAGACTGAGCAAGGACTTTTATTTAAATTGAAAGTACCGAGTGTATTATTGCTGTACCTCCAAGTTGTTTGTAAATAAGCCCCTGAAGTTAAGACACTGATGGTTTGAATTGTCTGAGTGTGAAGTCCAGATGCTATGCTCTGTATCTCCAAAAGTAGGATAGGACGAGGAGAAAACTAGAGTGTCTGCTGTACTGTTACTTACTTATGGAAAAGGAAGTCACTGTGAAGGGGACTCAGGGAGAAGTGCAGAAAGCAGAGCAGGGGAATAGGAGTTTTGATGTAAGAGGCTTGCTCTGAAGATAAGACATTTAACTCAGTTACCCAGTTTTACAGTGGTCAGAAGTAGAAAGACTCCAGTTTTAACTGATCACCTCTTCTTAAAAAATACTTAGGGTGAACACATACACTGTATGCTTAAATATTGCATAAGATATCAAAAAGAAATAGGCATCATTTGGCACCTTCTGTAATTACTAGGGGGGAAATAGCAATACGTAACTATCAGAAGACAGGGTGCTACACTTTTAGAAAGCTTAGATATATATATATTTAGATATATTTTTAGTTATATTTTTAATGACCAACAAATAAATTATGAGACATACGTTTTACATATCTGTCAGGTAAGGAATTTGAGATTAAATCATACATATTGATTTTGAGGTGCTAGACACACATTCTCTGTATACTGAGGAAAAAAGTGCGCTTGATGTGAAGCATGCATATAATTGCAAGTATGTTGGATTGTTCCTCAAAATACCCTGATCCAAAGCATTATACCTGAAATGCTTTGGATCCAACAGCAGACCCACCGCAGCTTATCAAAAGCAGACCTATATCCCTCACTCTAGTTCGTGTTACAAACATCTAGTCATTAAAAACAAGTGCAGAATATTCTTATTTTACCTGTCCTGTCACAGCTGACTGCAATGGTCTTCAACAAGAGCCATTATGATGTACATGTGAATGCAGGCAAACATGTTCATAAGTGAGTGGTGACATATGATTCTATATTTGAGCAATAGTAATAATAATAATAATGAAAATAACTACATACCTGTTTTCCAGGAAAAAAAAAAAAAAGTTCAACAGTTACAAGTATTGCTCAAAAAGTAATAGAATCTTTTTTCCAGACAAAATGATGCATGATTTTGGTTACTAACAGGAAGAAAACAGCATAATCTTCAAATCATGGAATTTTCTTGTCAGATTTAACTCTGAGGGAGAAAGTCCATTGTCTGCCAAGCAGATGAATCTTCCCTTAAAGCATTTCAGATGTGATTTTTTTCTTAATGTAATAAGACACTATGTATTTTGTCCCCAGTTCTCTGAAGGGGATCTCAATGAAGCAATTAATATCAAACTGAATGACTGACCAACCATCTGCCAATTCCAGCACTTTCAATACAAATGACGCTTTATTCAAATGCAGAGTCAGAGTACAGCCTGCCATCAGAAGAACTGATTTAGTTCAGATGGGAAGGCAAGAATTATATGTAATTATACATGCAGTGAAATTATACATGCATAAGACTTCGATGCAGTAAAGTCTTTTTCTGCCGCATTAAAGGAGAAAAGGTAACAGAAATCTTTCAGTAAATTGCATTATGTAAGATTCAAGTCATACTGAATCTTTACTTGTCAAGAAGTTGCCTGAGGAAGAGGAAAAGTTGGCTTATTACAGGAGGTTTTGCTGTTCAAACTGAGATATTCAGAGATGCTGAAAGTATTAAACATCCAAATCTCATTAATTTTGGTGGACTTGGGCAAAATAATCCTTGGACCACATTTAACTCACATGTTTTGACATCACAGAAGGCAGCTGCATGACAGGAAGCTGCCCAAAAAAGGGAGAGGAAATCCTGAGTTGCTTGCTTCAATAGAATATAAATGAAGAAGTCATTACAATGAAAAAGAAATGAAAGCTTGCAGAAGATGTTTTGTGTCAGCTTCTGTCCGCTGGTTTGGTGGAATCCTATAAATCTACTGCAAAGTCGACTGGAAATGCCATACAAGGTTTCCTATGGTCTTGAGAGAACCTTTAAGTTTGCACTATGTTTTTCCTCAATTGGTTTGCCTAGGTGCAGGGAGATGGGTTAGAATCTTGTCTTGAAACAGGAGCATAAAATCATCATGCAGGTCACCACTGCTGTACTTACACAGAAAGCATCCCCAAGTCACCATGCAGAATGTGTAGAGAAGTTACAGGATTTTTCAAAGTAGGACCTTCGTGGCTTACTGTAGGGATTAGAGGTTCTGACAAAGGAAAATAGCACATTATCAAAAGTAAAGTAGAAGAGAGAGTTCAGAAAATACTTACCTTTTCCCTTACACTTCTTGTGAAAATAATACTTCCTTGCTTACGTGACATATCAACAAAGCTTATCTATGCACAACATGCATATCTGGCAACAAATACAAAGGACTCAAACTTTCACAGAAGTTGAAAGTGCGAGATAATTTATTCCTAAGTGTGTTAAAGCTTCTGCTTTGATGACACAGAGCCAGTCATTCAGAAGAAGTTTATTTTGAGTCAACAGCAGCTCTCAGAGATGAGTAAGTTGCAGTTTTGTACTTTTATGGGTAGAGTTTAAAAATATAACTTGCTTCTTGACCCAAATATGTGTGTTTTAGTACTGGCTAAATATCTTCATTTGTTCACCTGTTGGTTCCTGTTCGAAGCACTTACTGAAAACATATTATCTGCATAGTCCAGATACAAGAGATGGAAATAATTTTCGGGAGGAAAATGTGACTAAGGTCAACTATTCAAAGAGTGCATGCTTTGCTGCAGAACAAACTGAAACTAATTAGCAGCGTTTAAAAACAATTGATAGCAATTAAGTCAGCATTCCTGTAGTCAAGCACATTAAAAAGTCAAGAGAGCAAATACTTCATAGTCATACGTGAAAAACAAATGCACTCATTTTTAATTGCAGAGGAGTATTTTAAATATACCTTTGCTTCTTCCTTCCCAGTTATAGTAAGCCTTTTTCAGGTCAGCGTGGATGGGTTTGTTGCTTTCAAATAAGCAAAGTGAACGGACTTCACTTTCTAGTTGATTTGACATTACTTTTCAATTGTATTGGTTTAATGTGTGTGGAGGTAGAAGACTTTCTGCTGATGCTCATCAGCCTATCAAGCCCAAGGAAGTAAACTTGATGAACGTTAGATAGTTTAGATTCTCGAGCCCTGATTGTGCCAGCTGCTATTTTTGCTACTATTGTGGAGAAGAATAGAAGGCCTGTAAGACAGAAGTTAGCTTTTTGGCAGCTGCAGTTGTCATTTCTCAAGGATCTTGCTCCACCTGTTCATTCAAATTGCACCTCCAGCGTTGTTCACAGATAACACTGTGGGAAAGTTGTTTGAAGCTCCTGATATTGAACTATACTTACTTTGTGTACAGCTACTGCAAAGGGAAGCTGAAGGTTATTTTGTTGTTCTCTTCACCTTCCAGAGCTAGCTCTAGCCCCTAGATTTAGCTGCCTTGGTATATTGGCTTAGGTTAACATGTCTATGAAGACAGTGCAGTGCCTATGAGGGTCAGCAGGTCCTGGAAGATTGCTTACGGATGGTGAGGGAATTCTGCACATAAGGCTGCCTTTCTCCATATGTTTCTAGATGATGTTTCCTCCTTCTGTTGCTGAGCATGCCTGCAGCAGCAATGCAGCATCACAGAGGAGCAAATCTGAGCCCAGTCTGCTGGTTCTTTAGGCTGCCTTGCACTGTTCTTTTGCAAGACCAAAACCTGCCTTGACTGAAGGACAACACACCACCCAAAATGATCCATATCACTGCCACCCCTAAAGGTGTTATCACAGAAGACTTCCTATATGGAGAGAAACATGAGCACCACCGCATGTTTAGGCTGGTTTTGCTTGTATTAAAAATGGAGTCAAAACGCAAACAGAGCAGATTTCCTTGCAGTTTCTCTGCAACAGCAGAGCTCTATACAGATGTCACGATGTGGCCACTGCTGAGAGAGAATATCTGCAGCTATCTCCCCATAGACTTCTTTAAAAAGATATCTTTTCCTTTCCACTTTCTGTCAGTGTTATGACATCTAACGTGGAAGTAGAAAGGTATGGTATTGCAGATGTGAAACTCTTAGTGGCCCTTGTAAGTTAATACCAATGTAAATACACAGTAAGATCATCAGACTCTGAGTATCTCAGGAACAGCCAGTTCTGCTAAGGCTTAATCGCATCTCATTCACTTTCAATCAGAGTATCTTATAGCAGCAAGGCGCGACTATGAAAGCCCCCGCTGATCCAAATGCTCTGTTCCTACTCCTAATTTTTCTAAGATTTTGAAGGTTAAAAGATGAATGAATAAGATGTCAAAATGGAAAGGCAACTTGCTGTTTTATGAAAATTAATTTTTTATTTCTTCCTCGTAGCACTACAGTTAAAAATTATTAACCTTGCCTTTCTCATTCCCTTTTCTGAATTTCCAGATCTGTATTATTTCCTACAAATCTTTGATAAAAAATGAAAATCCTGTACCTCCTTCAGCTATAGTGATATATGTCATTCCTTTTGTCCCAAACTAAAATAATAAAGAATAGAAACCATTTTTAGAAGATGAAAAACTAAATACCTCTGGTAATTTAGAAAAAAAAGAAATTGCACTATGTTTTTCCTAAAGCTGTGGGTTGTAAGATACAAAAGATTGCAATTTCTGGTATTTAACAAGGTTATTCATTTTCGGCTTAATTGTATTTAAGTAGCAATCTTGAAGTACTACGTTATATGTCTTTTTTCCAGATACATTCTTGCGTTAGTGTTTTCCATGTTGACAAGGCAGCTCTTTAAGCCTTTTAGTGTTTCTTGATCCCCTTTAAGCCCTTTTACTTGGCTTTTTTTTCCTATCTTCAACAAAATGTTTCAAGGGAAACTTTTAAATACCTTTGACACTTCTGCAAGTTTTTAACCAAAAACATTTGCCAAACATTACATACACAGTGCAGTACTTTTAGATGCTTCATCACCATTTTTTTCTGAGAAATTAATCGTACACATGGGAACTGTTGATCACGGCCTGAAGCACTGATTGACCACCTGAGGCAAGCACTGAGTCAGCCATGGAGCACAGGTGAAGGCAATTCAGCTGTGTGATGGAGGGGGTGGAGCCTGGCTGCACCTCTCCTAGACCCCATTTAAGGGCTGACTGGCACTGGGGGAGGGTTTCTTTCTAGAGATCTCTCCTCTGTGGGGTCTTTCCTGTGAACCTTGCTCTTCAGATGCAGGTGGGCATTCCTCCCTGTTTGTTTCTTTTCCTATTTTCACCACAATAATCTTTCCAGCTGTAACACCAACTGTAACAATCATACAAGGAGAAAAAAAAAGTTTCTAAGCTCTTCACAAAGATACTTTGTAGATAATATTTCTGAAAGGTGGGGAATGGTTCTAGTGAATTTGGAGCCATTAACAAGGGGGCATAAAGATCTGCATGAACTGTATGGGTTTCAGTAGGGCCAAGTGTCAGGTCCTGCATTTTGATCATGACCAATCCAGGCAACCCTACAGGCTTGGGGAGAAGAGGCTGGAAAGCTGCCTGATGGAAAGGGGTCTCGGTGTACTGATGGACAGTCAGCTGAATGTGAACCAGTAGTATGCCCAGATGGCCAAGGTGACCAATGGCATCCTGGCTTGGATCAGGAACAGAGTGGTGAGATGGACTAGGGAAGGGATCCTGCCCCTGTACTCAGCACTGGTGAGGTCCCACCTTGAGGGCTGTGTTCAGTTTTGGGCATCTCAAGAGAGGAAGTACGTTGAGGTGCTGGAGCACGTCCAAAGAAGGGCAGCAAGGCTTGTGAAGGGCTTGGAGAATATCCCCTATGAGGAGGGACTGAGGGAACTGGGGCTGTTTAGTCTGGGGAAAAGGAGGCTGAGGGGAGACCTTATTGCTGTTTTCCAATATCTGAATGGTGCTTACAGCGCGAATCAGGTTGATCTCACTGGTGGCAGGACAGGGCGAGGGGAAATGCCCTTGAGTTGCTCCAGGATAAGTTTAGGTTGGATATCAGGAAAAATAACTTTACAGAAAGGGTTGTTAAGCACTGGAATAGGCTCCCCAGGGAGGTGGTTGAGTCACCAGCTCTGACAGTGTTTAAAAAGCAATTGGATGTGGTGCTCTGGGACATGATTTAGTAGAGGGTTGTTAGGTAGTATGGTTAGGTTGTGGTTGGACTAGATGATATTTAAGGTCTTTTCCAACCTGAGAGGTTCTATGATTCTATGAGTGGGTTCTGTAAAAATGTCTCTCTAGGTTACAGTAAGAATATA